TCAAGAAACCTCAAAAGAATGGATGAGGGGGCAGTGAGAAACCTCTTTCGACATGCATTGTGAGGAGGACTCGCTCGCCGCTGCATGGCTCAGGCTCGATCTCCCCTTCTGGAAGCTTCCAAGACCCCTCGGCAATCAGGCCGTCTGCGACGAGATTCTCCAGATCTTCCACCATGACGGAGGAGCAGATCCAATCTCCCTGAATCCAACCTGGCGACAGAGCAGTCCGCGAGGCCGACCCCTTCGCCGCCTTCTTGCCCTTGGCCGTCGACTTCTTTGCACACTCCAGGGCCGCAGTCTTGTCCTTCGTCATTGCTGTGGAGCTCGAGAGGAGTGGGCAGAGGAGCGTGGCGCCGGGGAAGACGAGGCGGAGAGGCAGAGGAGAAAGGGGCGAATGGCGAGCACTGTTCCACACATCGACAACAACGCCTTATATGGCCACACATCCGAGTGGCTGACTCATGGGACCGTGCAATCCTAGAGCATCCCGCAACTGGCGTAGGCTCGATACATGGCGAAAAAGGCGGCACGAGGATCGAGGAGTCCCTATCCACCTGCCTCGCTTACCGCGCCGCGTCCCGACCCGCGCACTTCTCCAAATTTCGAATCGAGTGAAATCTGTGCCCCGCAAAGCAGTCGATCGCATCGGAGATGTCCAAATCCAATCTGCTCAGCGATATGTTCCTTACTTCACTCGGGAGATCAAGAAGCCAGAATCGATCAAGGCGACTGATGAAGGGTTAAAATACCTGCATACATTCGGGCCCCTAAAGAAATGTGTCCGGGACATTGAATCAGGTCGAAACCAACTTCAACTCTTCGTCACTCGGTCCTCAATCCATTCGGGGCCTAATGACGATGACATGTACCTAGGGTAGGGTCTTAGGCCTGACCTGAATACCCTACCCAAGGGCACCGCACAAGAAGCCAAGACCCATAAAGTTAAACAGAAGATACCGACTGAAATCCTCATACGGTGCAATACACTCGACAGAAAATCTCACTCGGATATCCCAATTCCACCCGACCGTTGTTATTTACTCGAAAGACAAGGATTCACTCGGAGTACAGAAGACCTAGAGCCACCCTTGGATGGCAACGGTCAGGCATTCACTCCGTCATCATAAAGATCATTTAATACGGGCGTTACCAGTAACGACTTAATTCTCATTGAACCCTGGTGTAACAGAGGGCAGCGAGGGGTCGGCACACTCTATATAAGCCACCCCTCCCCTCTTGCACAAGGGTTCGCACCCCCTGTAACTCACACTCCAACCAACAAGCCTCCACGACACCGAGACGTAGGGCTGTTACCTCCTCCGAGAGAGGCCTGAACTCGTAAATCGGAGTGTACAACTTTGCCGTAGCTAGGACTCTGCCCTCTCCTACGTACCCCCTATCTCTACTGTCAGATCCGTTCCCACGACATGGAACAGGCGGAGCTCGATCGTGGGCTCCCTTCCACTTTTGCAAGGAGGGGAGGACCAAAACTTTCCTAAAATGGCAGGTTGCCAGGAATCCCTACGGGGCACTCAGTTGCTGGCTAGGCGCTTCCTATTTAGGACATGTCCGGGAGTCCTCCACGGCAACAAACTCCACAATTCCTTCGCCACATGCCAGTAGCCAGCTTTTCGTCTGAAACCACAGAGCGATCGATTCGTTCGGTATGCTAGCTTCTGATTCCTGAGCGCTCGGCCAGGCTGGAAGCCATGTATTGGGCCAATTCACTGGAGTGAGCTCGTGCATGGGCTATAAGCCTGGTCGGGTGGGTTGTTTTTGGACATTTTTAGCACATGCGTCTAGTGTTAGTCATGGGCCTGCAGGGGAATGCACGAGGAGGGGTGTCTCGAGTCGACGAGGGGAGGAAAGGGGTAGCGCTCGCTCGAACCGGTGCGTGCTTATCTCACTTGCCGGTGGCAGAAGTTTGTAAAATTACATGAACTCCAACTTCTCGATGAAACAGGAGCTCAGGAAACCCAGTTTCGCAAATCCTCATATTTTGCACTACACTCCGCTCCAGCTTCTCTCGGTAAACTCCTGGAGTTGGAGCGTTCGGCCCAACTTCGAAAGTGGAGCCGAAGGAGCCAGGAGTTGGAGGGCTCTGGAACAAGCCCTTAGAAACGGAGGGAGGAGTAGAGTTAAAAAAGATGCAAAAAAAATGTGTGGACTCGTACAGTGCGCTGTAGTACAACCGCGTGACATAGCAAGGGTCAACCCTGGCACGTTTGCACGGTCGCCAGAGACAAGACCGAGAAGACCAGACGCGAGCACAGTGCGCCCCCCTACATCCTCTCCCCTGGTCCACAGCGCAAGCCAACTCACACAGCGCAATGAATGACCACTCCCACTGCGACTCAGCACGACCTGACGAGACGACTGTCGCG